TTTACTGAGGGGCATGTAAGAGATTGTTGTGCATAGAACAGTTAATGCTACTTTGGATTATTTGTTGGCCCTACAATTTTTATAACATTTTTTAATTATTAGCAATAAAAGCAAATTTAGGAGGTTCAACAATTTAGCCTTTTATTTCCTTATCAGGTTATTATATTACCATTATACCAAATGAGAATTTTGCTTAGAATTTCAGAACTAAGAGACGAGATAAATGAATACTAAATCTAAAGATTAAAAAAATGTAATTACTAACACAAAAGTAGGTCCATGTTGCTCATATATTAATTTCATCTGTTATTCAGGCTAACTCCCATCTAGTACAATATTAAAACAATAATTTAGGGTATCTGGGAATAACCTAAATAATGCTTGATACAATTTTCTTCCTCAGAATATACAGGCTCCAATGTTTCCGTAAGTGTTAGAAAAATATTTGTCCTACTCTCTTTCTCAAAAAGTAAGTATCACAAAAATAATATACCAGGAAATGTTCATGTATGTAAGCTATTACTGGGTGAAGTCTTTTATAATGTAACATTTTCTATATATTGTGAAACTAAGCCTTCACAATAAAAGTATGAATGAAATGAAGCAGGAAATCCTCTAGGTAGAATTTTACCAAAAACACAAGCTATATCTCACAGAATGCTGAGCTGGGGATTAAGTCAGAATTTAATCTTTTTACAAGAAAAGAAACTCAGGACCAAAGAAGTTATATTAGTTTGTATATAGTTCCTTTAAATGTCTCAATGATTAAGAAAATGTATTTTCATTGTTTTTTCACCTAGAACTATTGGGGAAATAAAAGGAAGTATAGTTGACCTCTTTTCCCTTAGATTGTCAAATAAAAAAAATGACTACAACCAATACAATAGCCATCTGGTGTGAATCAATCAAAATTATACCTATTAGCCCTAGCCGGTTTGGTTCAGCGGATACAGCGTCAGCCTGTGGACTGAAGGGTCCCAGGTTCGATTCTGGTCAAGGGCACATGCTCGTGTTATGGGCTCGATCCCCAGTAGGGGGCGTGCAGGAGGCTGCCAGTCAGATTCTCTCTCATCATCGATGTTTCTCTCTCCCTCTCCCTTCTTCTCTAAAATCAATAAAAATATATATTTAAAAAAATACCTATTATTTTGTCAGATCAGCAAAAAATGTATTTTAGTGTGCCACAGAATTTTAGTGATTAGTTTGCGTGTGCCAAGAGATGAAAAAGGTTGAACATCACTGATCTAAGTCATTGAAATTTTGAGACTGTCTCAATGCACATACAGTATTTTTCGTGACCTATACTTATAAAATTTATATAAAGTGAATGAATACATCTATATTTACATAAAGGGTACATCATACACCAGAGCCTTACTAGAATGGGAAAGCTCTATTAATACAAGAGATTAGCATGACTTATATCCATCAATTTTAATTGAATGGGTCTCAGTATACTAATTAATAAGCTTTATCTTCCGCTTCAGTTTGCCTTTGTCTGTGTCCTGACAAAAAAAAAAATTTACCCAAGATTTTTGGTAACAAAAACCTTGAAAGTCACTTCTTCCTTGATGTCAGCTAATAAATATTCATTATCACAGAACCTAATTATAAACTAATGTTTTGGTACCTGAAGAGGTCCTTAATAGGCAAAATAATCTAATTTTTTTGAATTACCATACTTGTAAGTTTTTTTTAAGGATTAAAACATCCTAATTACCAAATTAAGGGGAATCTGACACAAGAGTATTAAGAATATATTCCACAAATAGATTACCATGGATTCTCATCAAATCCCAGAACATCAAATCTATAGGAGGTAGATTTGAGAGATCCCGCTAAAAATCAGGAATGTAGTCTCATTACTGGGTAAAATAGCATACATGAAGGTAGCTGTATTAAATGGAAATAGAAAAAAAAAATAATGCCTAATGGTTTCTTCTTTTTTAATGTGCAGAAATTGTATACTAAAACAAAACCTATAGTGCCATTCCCAAAAAGGCCTTTTAGAATAATCTGCTTTGCAGTCAAGGGTGTCTGCATTAAATGTCTAAACAAAATTTGCATCATTAGTCACAAAATGTCTTCTATATACTCATAGCATATCAGGCGCTATACTGTTTTTAAGTAAAATTTATATACAAACATTTCCTAGACAATTTAGTTTAAATGAGGCATGACATGGAAGTAATAATACAGATTAAGGTAGTTTCTTCTAATAAATCCAAGGTAATGTACATCATATTGTTGTATTTTACCCAGTTCTGTTTAAAAACTAGCACTTTTTTTATTATTTACACAATTTAGGTAGAAAAGATGAAACTGAGGCTCATATTACTTTTGCACTCACAAGGCTACATGGAATAGGAGCCATTTTTCATGGGAGGGATGAGTGGGAAGCAAAAGCCAAGACCTCTGGCTTATAAGAGATGGAAAAAAATTTCAGTGACTGAGGGCTGTAAAAACAATTTCAGGGTCAAGTCCCCCCACCCCCCAACCCCCCCCCCCACCCCGCACCTCCAAGCTCAAACCAAATAACCTACCAGGAGTCAGTTGGGCCCACCCTTTCTGGCATTGGAAGGGATAGCCGGCTTGCCTGTCTGCTCCTAAGCAAGCTAATATAAAGCCTGTTAGTCCTCATGTTCTTCTCACACAGAGAACTTAAGTCACCTCAGTGGACAGGCCCAGTTATAACCCAAGTGAAAAGAAGGAATTCTTACCATTTGCTACAGCATGGATGCAACTGGAAAGCATTATGCTAAGTGAAATAAGCCAGTCAGAGAAAGATAAATATTACATGACCTCACTCATTTGTGGAATATAAGGTGAAAAGCAAAATTCTCAGCAATTAAGAAACCCTTAAGACTTCAAGTTAAAAAGCAAAATAAAAACCTATGCACAGATGCCCTGGCGAGTGTGGCTCAGTTGGTTGAGCCTTGTTCCATGCACTAAAAGGTTGCTGGCTGGATTCCGGGTCAGGGCACACTCGTGGGTTGTGGGCTCAATCCCCAATAGGAGGCATGTAGAAGGCAGCCAATTCATGTTTCTCTCTCTCCCTCTCCCTTCCTCTCTCTCTCAAATCAATACAAACTTTTTTAATTAAGAAAAAAATGCCTATGTACAGAATCTCATAAAACTTTAGAAAACCAATTAACAACAAAAAGTTAATGTGTAAGAAAAAAGGATTACCTACACATAAAAAATGCATTCAAATCAGATGGTTACAAGCAACACTGGACACTACAAAACAATGAAGTAACAACTCCAAAGTTCTAATGGAAAATGAAATTGTAGTTTGAATCCTATGTCCAAAGTGTCAAACGAGGGAGCAAGGGCGAAACTATTTTCCCATATGCAAGACTGTTACCATTCATACACCCTTTCTGAAAATATTACCAGATAATATACTGCAGCAAGAATAAAAGAAAATCTAAGAGGAAGCTATGAAATCTAAGAAATAGAATCCAGCAATGGTATGGGGAAAAAAAGAATCCTAGAATGACAAGAATACACAGAGCATTAAATGATTAAATAGCCCTAGCTGGTTTGGCTCAGTGGATAGAGCGTTGCACTGTGGCCTGCAGGGTCCTGGGTTCGATTCCGGTTGGGGGCACATGCTCGGGTTGCGGACTCGATCCCCAGTAGGGGGTATACAGGGGGCAGCCGATCAATGATACTCTCTCATCATTGACATTTCTATCTCTCCCTTCCTCTCTGAAATAAAAAAAATGTATTAAAAAATGATTAAATAACCAGAAGAGCTCAGTAAAAAGAAATCAGAAACTCAAGAAGAAAAAAAATCAAGTTATGGTTCATATTTTAGCAATGGCATGAATCTAACCAAATGAACATTAAATCATTTTATGTCTTAGAATTTTGCCTTCCAAAGGACATAGAATCTTGTCAAAATAGGATTATCTATGGATCTAAGAACATCACCCATTTTAAATGTTGCATTTTGGCAATCTTCAGTCTAGAGACAAAACATGTCAAAGTGTCATAAACCTGACAGCAGAAAAGTAAAGATGGAATTACCAGGAACTGGGAAATAAAAGACCAGAAAGTACTGAGTATGCTACTTCCTCATCTTATAGTGAGGAGCAAAAGATACTAAACTGTGTAAGTAAAGGCTTAAGTGAAGTTTGAGTAATAAAGTTAACCAATTGAATTTAAAAGTTCAACAAAAGGAGAATAGAATTAGTTTAAGCTAAATTCCTCACAAGGGGTAAATACTGCTTAAATTTATTAAAAGAGATGCAAGCCCTGGCCGATTTGGCTCAGTGGATAAAGCATCCGCCTGCAGACTGAAGGGTTGGGTCCCAGGTTCAATTCCCATCAAGGGCACATGCCCAGGGTTGTGGGCTTGATCCCCAGTAGGGGGCGTGCAGGAGGCAGCCAATCAATGATTTTCCTTCATCATTGATGTTTCTATCTCTCCCTCTCCCTTCCCCTCTGAAATAAATAAAAAAAATTTTTTTTAAAGTTCTTACCACAAAATAAACTTTTAAATGAAAACAAAAGAGATGTAAGAATTGAGTCATTATCCTGCCCAGTAGGGTGATTCAGTTAGTTGGAGAATCAACACATACACCAAAAAAGGTTGTGGGCCCAATTCCTAGATTGGCGGTTTGATTTCCAGTCAGGGGCATAAGAGTCAGACAATTAATGTTTCTTTCTCACATGTTTTTTCCTCTCCCTCCCTTCCTCTCTCTAGAAAATCAATGAGGACTAAGAGGGGAAAAAAAGTCATCACCCCTGTGAACTGACTAGGGTGCAGAGTCGACTTTTGTATCCTGTACTGTATCGTTTCCAGGTCTTCTAAATTTCCTTTAAAGTATTAAGTTAAATTATCAACTAAGCGTGTATAATAATACCTTTTTCCATCAGTATTCAAACTAATACATACAGGGTGTCCCCCAAAAAATGTATACACACTTGAACAGCTGATAACTCAAACTTGAAAATGAAATTTTAATAAAGTCTTTATAATTATTCAACAGGTCTATACATTTTTGAAGGGACACCCTATATAATCAGACACCCTTTTCAAGATATTGAACTTCAACCACCTACCAGCTGAAAGGTACATGCAAGCCTATTCATATGGATGCAACCATTGCTCTAGCTACTTTATAGTATGTATGATTCTCAGGAATAGCTATTGTCAAGACCTTATAGTTATCTAATCTTCATTTTTTTAATCTTCTCCAGAGTGCTCTGCAAAAAGAACCTTATACAAACTTTATGAACGTAAAACCAACTAGATTCTTCATCAGCAAAACAAGAATTCAATATTGAAGTACTCATTCCTCATAAATAAACGAGTATGGACAGGGTTTGTAGGTCAATACTGTTTTGTTCAGCAGCTTGAAATTAAGCTGAACATCAGCATAAAGAAAAATTGCTGGGCTGGGTTGTTCTAATAATTACAATTAGAAATAAACATAAAGCTGCCTATAAATCTCAAGAATTGTCCCTTTGCCGAAACCGGTTTGGCTCAGTGGATAGAGCGTCGGCCTGCGGACTGAAGGGTCCCAGGTTCGATTCCAGTCAAGGGCATGTACCTGGGTTGCGGGCACATCCCCAGTAGATGTGCAGGAGGCAGCTGATCGATGTTTCTCTCTCATCGATGTTTCTAACTCTCTCTCTCTCTCCCTTCCTCTCTGTAAAAAATCAATAAAATATATTTTAAAAAAAAAAAAGAATTGTCCCTTTAACTTCAAGACAATTGATTTTTTTTTTAAACATTAGATGATTTAGCCCTAGCCGGTTTGGCTCAGTGCATAGAACATCGGCCTATGGACTGAAAAGTCCTGGGTTCGATTCCTGTCAACGGCACATGCCTGGGTTGCGAGCTCGATCCCCAGTGGGGGGCGTGCAGGAGGCAGCCAATGATTCTCTCATCATTGATGTTTCTATCTCTCTCCTCCCTTTCTCTCGGAAATTAATAAAACTATTTAAAAACACATTAATTTGCATGTGGGTCTTCAGATTAACTTACATGACCATTTCATGCTCTTTAATTTTTAAAAGCTTTCCATGTTATAAAAGTGGTTTAAAATTTTGATTCCCATTTCAAGTGACCATGCCACAATTAAGCCTAATTCAGAAAAATAAACTAAATTTCCACCAAACTGAAAAATATCTGGAAGAGTATTTTTAAATGCCTACCTAGCACCTTTCAGATTTCCCTGCCATGAAGAGCTTCCAATCTTAAAGGCAAACAAACAAGATAGAAATTAAGTAGCTTTAAAGTAGTAATTTAGACTGATAAAAAAGGCATTAAGCAGGGATAAGCAATATGCTTATATATATATATAATTTTTTTTTTTTGAAGTAAATACAGAATCTGCAGCTGGGCCCCTTAGCTTTGCTTATGCTGTCCTAAATGCTAAATGGATCTTTAGGAAACCAAGAGTTAAACTAACATTTCTTTTAATTTTAGAATAAAAGGCTTTTTCATCAACTTTTAATTTATAAATGAATATGCAGTGAGGAGTACCTAGAGGGAACAGCACATTTCCTTAATGTTTAAAGATTCCTAGGAATCCAGTTTCTGCAAAAACTATTGTATTACATATACATTGGGCTGCAGAGAATTGTATTCTGCCAATTCTTATAGATGACCTTTGAAGTATCGCTCATTATTTCTGATTTTCCTCCAAGCTCATTCCCAATATTAAATATATTGAGAAACACAATCAGTATATATGCTTTTCTAGCTTTTCATGTTAAAAGAAGTTAGAGCAATTTTAGAGGCCTAATTCCTGAGGCTTCCAATTTAAGCAACATCAATACCAAGACGTTCTTCTTAAAAATGAAGCCACAAAGCTTTCTTTACTCATGACAAATAGATGCACCTTGTCTGGCAATTTTGTATTCAAATGATGCAATGCTGGCATTTTATAATTCTCATTAAGAAAAAAGAGACACTAAACTTCAAATGAAAAATTGTTACATAAATGTCATTCAAATTTCCTTCATTTAAAATTAACATCTTTAGCCCTAGCTGGTTTGGATCAGTGGATAGAGCATCACCCTGCGGACTGAAGGGTCCCAGATTCGATTCCAGTCAAGAGCACATGCCCAAGTTGTGGGCTCGGTCCCCAGTGAGGGACATGTGGGAGGCAGCCAATCAGTGATTCCCTTTCATCATTGTTTCTCTCTCTCCCACTTCCTCTCTGAAATCAGTGAAAATACATTTAAAAATAAAATTAATATCTTTAAAAGAGCCACACCAGAGGTGATGTTATTTTGGATATTTCTATACTTTGGAAGACCAGATTTTAGAATCTCCAACTCTTTTCTACAGATTTTATATGATTGTAAACAAGTTCTAGTCATATTCTTTAATATCCACATCAAAACCTTTGTCCTTTTGCCTTGAAAAAGTAAAATTGGCTATAGTTCGTAAATGACAGAAGATGGCAATTCACTTGGGCATCCTAAAATACTCTCCAAAACATTTTGATATTTTGTCACAAGAAGCTTTCCAGAATACAAGTTAAAAACCTAATAAGTCAGGAGGAAATGACAATTCATTAACATTACAGACAGCAGACTCTCCGATTAGAACTTATTTTAAACCATTTTATAAACAAATTAAAAATCAGATATCCACTGAGGCTTGTAAATTACTCTAAAATACCCTCATCTTTGTCTTAAGTTTATTGCTTGTTAGGAATACACTTTAGGAAACAGTAATATCTGAAGATGCTAACTTCCATAGTGGTTTATTAGGACTTCTCCCTAACCCAGAGTCTTACTCAACATCATTTCAACCAGAAAAAAGTACTAATTTGGTATCTGCACAGGGAGCCAGAAAGGCAACATAAATGGTTTACAAAATGCCCGTGGTGAATATTTCCAGTATAAAACTGTGACTGTTACAAAATGACAAGTTTTCATTAATGAGAATAAATTTTACTAACCCTAAATACAAACTAATCTCTGTACTAAGGACTAAAAGGACTTTTGTCCTAAAGTAGCCAATACTACCCCTACTGCTTCCTCCTTGAAGAAAATCCTAAGTTATGAGCCAACCCCCTCAACCACCACCCCAGCCCAAGAAATGTATTTAGAAGTTCCCCACTCTTTGATTTGCCAACTTAGCTTTATGAAACACATTTTAAACTGTTCACCTACCTAATCTCTTTTGCAGTCATCTAAATGTGCCACATTTAAATAGATTTATTTGTCCACTCCCATTTCCTGATTTACTTGCAACCTAAATCTCATTTCCAAACCTTCAGAGACAATGAAAGAACACTGCAGAGTAGGGCATGGAAATTACCATGAACTTCTTTCACGTGCATGACCACGGAATTATTTTCATCAATTAAAATTAAGTGAATACCAACATTTATATACATATCCCACCATGTGCTTGAATTAGAGATCTTGGAGAATTTGTTTTTACCATTGGCTAGTTACTTGGAATGTATGGATAATAAAAAGATGAGTGAGCTCTGATTCCAAGTGTCTATTTAAAAGCTGTTAAATGAAGAACGATGGAGGACACCCACAATAATTCTTGGACTCCTGGAGATCCTAAGACATGCTACAAAAATAGGTCTTTATTCTTAGGAAAATATAGTCAGAGCTAGCTTCCTTATGCTATACATAAAATCTTAACATCAGAGGCAGTACAGATAGTACAGATAGTTTTTGAACTGATCTCCAAACAAGCACAAACCCACTACGTTGAAAAGAACAAGTAATTTGAGGTTTTTGGCAAAAGACAGTACTTCACACATCTAATCCAAATCAAAGAGCCTGCAGACAGTTTTCAGGGAGATAAAAGGAATGAAATAAATATAAATTCTATGGATAAATAAATGTAAGAGAATTTAAATAAGCTAACAGAACTATTTTTTAAATAAAAATACTAATCAGGTACAAGCTTTTGTTTCTCATGCCAGACTTCTAAATGTTTATCAGACTACTGTTAATATCATTAAAAACCTAATCTTGGACCAGAGCATTAGTTTTAATACTGTTTTGCATTTGTAAAAAAGACTTGTTTTTCCAAACTAAATGCTGCTGGTCGTGAAAAATATTTTAGGTGTATTACTGAAGGCAGACTGTGGTGCTAATAGAACTTAAGTACTTTAAAAAGTGACAGACCAAAATGTCTATCTACTAATTTGCCCACAGTTAAAAACATCTTTGAACATTGGTTTATAATTAGCATCTGAAAAAGTAGTGGCATGCCCTATTGAGTGGTATGATTACTGAGTAATTAGTACTATACATCATCCCCAGAAGTCTGTTCATTGTATGTATTTACTTAAGTTCATTCATTTTATACCCACCACTGAATTCCTATGCTCAGATAAAAATTTTATATACATCACTGGGGAGAAAATGGTCATGTGGGTATTCTTGAAGTTTTAGGAACCTGAGCAATCATTTACTCTATCTCCCTCCCCTAAATGCACAAATTCCTTCTGCTTTTTCATTTCTCCCCTTAAAATAGACTACATGTCATACTTACTTTGTAATAAAACAAGGTGACCTTCTGCTGTTTCTGGTGATTTTTTACTTAATCAAAAAAGCTGTCCTGAATGTGACAATTTTGCCCAACTAGCATGATGTTCACCCTGATATTAAATAAGTCTTTTCAAATATCTTATATACAAGTGAATACCCCAGATCACCCCATCAATCCATTTCTGTTCTTCATATTTTATCACAAGGAAAATATTTATATTTTGTTAAATCAAACTTGCAGTAATTGGTAAATTTCTCATGATGCAACAACTGCCATCATAAGTGTGCAACCACTCTTTTTGTGCTCAATCTCTCCTTCATCTCTAACATCTGATTCAGTTGCAATGGCCAAAAATCTTCCATATAAAGAATATATTCAATACAATTTTCTCACAAAGCAATTTTCTGAAAACTGATTAAATTTATGATCACTTTGATTGCCAAGTAGTCTGCAGAAACAAAATCTTGCGTCTGTTTTGGTTAGGTAACTCTAACAATCAGAATGCATTTACGGATACATTTTTCACCCCAAGGAAGGGACTTCACTCTTGGATATAAGACCCATTCCTTGACAATATATACAAAATTTCTTTAACTTGTCATCTGTCCATTCTTTGAAGCTGTCAAAGCCAAGAACCCATAAACAAATCACAAATAGCAATAACCTACATTAGTTAACATTCCCCTTTTAACATGTTGACATTTTTACTAAAGGATTAGTTATTTTTGCATTTCCATTTCTCATATCCCATGACATTCCATATAAATTGCATTATTGCTTTATAGGCCACACAACATTCCAAAGTATGTTCATATGCATTGCCTGTTTTCCTTGATTTCTGATAAGTTTGATACTGATTTTACTACAGAAATTTAAGTTTGAAAATACCAGTTAGTATTTCTTCTCAGAACTTAATTGTTCACATCACTAATCACTACATGCATATTTAGCTCTGATTATATTGCTCAAAAACTGCACCCATTATCAGAACAGTGCAAATGATATTTAATTTTAAAATTATAATGGCTTGAATTCAGTTATTCAAATGAACACTGTCAAGTTAATTTCACTTGAGTGTGTATATATTTCATCACTACTGTTTACATTACCCAACAATTCTTCACAATTTCTTTATATCAGTTTTCCCTCCCAAATCCCCAAACTCAGAATGGCAAATAGTCTTAGAAACCCACAGCTCCACATTTTAATGTTTTTAAGAACACATTTGTGAACTCACAAAAATGTTCATCTTTCAACTGTGACAATGCAGTTCTTGTTTAAGCCAAATAAACCAGTCCTAAAATCCCAATGAATAATTGAGAATTAACTTAAACACCTTGACAGTGTCCCTTAAAAAGGATATGACAGTAAAGTGCCAATAGGCATGGCAATGACCTCTTTGATGGGATCATTTAACTCCTTGGAACTGGGAAATGCCAGCACCAAAGATTACACTGAGATTCAATTTTACTGAAGGCTACATTTAGTTTACCCACTTTTCACAAACCTATTATACGTATATTGTCAAAATGAAATGTAAATGTTTTGTGTAGCCCTCAAACTTACACTAAGATTTCAAAGAGATGTACTTTAAAAAAGCACGGGGTAATATATAAAATCAGTGGCAGAAAGTTTCATTAAGCACCAGGAACTAATTTTTGTCACCCCATACTCATTTTGTAGGTAAGTTTCAATAACCGGCAAGGCACATTTACATATATTCCAATGAATAGTTATTGACAAATTTTAAATTACACTCTATGTCCCAGCTAACCCAGTAACTGACATACAACATACTAAAATGGTTTATTAAGATAACATAAAAAACCAGTTAATGTGAAACATACAGGCTATTGGCAACCACTATTCTAAAATTATGTAAGTACAAATAAACATACTGAAATGTGTGCAATTCTAAGTTTTTAAACCAGAATATCTGTATACTAACACACATTTATATTAATGACACATAAAAAAAATAAAAACTTTATTACAAAAATAAGTTACACTCGCCTCCAGCTTACAGTATAAAACAATTTTATTTGCAGGAATGCAAAATGATTGTTTGTCATGAGCATTTTGAACATATGACATGTCTAAATTTTGTTAAATTTGCATTTACTGGGGGAACTGGTGTGTATAAAACCCTAAGTATAATAAGCTCTGGTCTTCATCGTGGTGCCTATTGGGTAGTGATATAACTGCAGTATCCCTTTGGGGAAGGGAAAAGGGATTTCTTTATACCAAGTCCTAATTAAACTGTAATTTCACTTTTGACTTTAAGCTATCAATTTTGGACTTGGCCAAAAAATTTCTGAGGGTGATTCAATAGAGGATGCTTCACCACTGAACACTCACTGTCATCAAGGTGCTTTAGAAAATTAAAAACATAGCACAAATGATTGTATTCTATTCTACAAGTTATCATGACCTGCATAAGAAATGGAAAGCTGATTCACGTTTTTGCAGTGATCAGCAATAAGAAATGCACTAATGAAACATACCTTTACCTAAAAAGCTAAACTACAGCCATATACTAATCTCTATGATTTATGAAAAAACTTCAAAATATCCAAATGTCAGGCTTCGCTGTACAACTGTCAGTTTTAGTCTGACTTTTTATAAAGGGACACTGCAGTATTTAGTACAAGTTCGGATGCACTTTTTTGAACATCTGATGTCTTACAAAAGTAACATCTTCCTAAACTATTATACATCCAAATAACTACAATATCTGAAGAAGCAAGGCTGCTTTTTCAGCCACAAAATACGACAAAAGCAAGGCCTGTTATGATGGTCATGAGGAAGTCTTACAAGCCTCTGAAACTAAAGGCAATTAAGAATGTTACATTTGGTATATTAAAATCTTACCCTCATATCATTTAACAAGCCTTGCTTTTATCTACAAAGATTTTTCTATGTACAGTACAGACAGGGTATAGTTCAATCCTCTGCTACTGAGGTAGTTAACCAACCCTTTTAAAAAAGGTTCTGAAAAGAACCACTA